CTAAATAATAATGAATATATATATATATATATATTCATTATTATTTAGATGGTGTGAAATATAAGTTATACACCGCTATGATTTATAATATACATAAACAATGCAATACTTGGGAAGTTTAAATAAATTATGGTCAATGTTGAGTTAATGTGTGTTTCAGACCAACCAAGGTAGTGCAGGAGCTTCTGAGCTCGATTCTGGGTAGGTTTGAGGTTGAAGAGTTCCTGGTTCTCGTCGATAAACTGTGTGTCCACTGTGGAGTGGAGAAACTGGTGGTTGGAAAACACGTTCTGGAGGAAGGGGATGTTGGTCTGCACAAGAAACACAAAGAGAGAAGCAGCAGAGGTGACCTTTAGATCGCTGTTAAACACTGACAATAACAAATGTAGCACACTTTGGACAAATCAAGGGAAACCAAAAGCTGAAATAAATCATATACTCTTACTTGAGCAACCAAACCAGTCAAGAGTTACTGTCATAAGGACATGAATTACACCGTAGATATTGTGTTAGAGTATTTATGGTGTAAGTACACATTATGCAGCACACATACAAATAACAGAGTAAACTGAAATCACACAGTTTTGACAGACTAACACAGGCAGAGGGGTTCTTCTTCCCCTTGTTTATTTCCTTCACATCAATTATCACATCAACTAAGATTTTCCAATTAGTAAGAGAGAAAACATGATGAGGGCAATAGGATTCATTGTGAAGATCTTAATTTGTTGCCTTTCCTATTACCTTCATTAGTGTGTCCTATTTCCTTTTATTCACATTTTAGTTCAAGGGAAATTCAGTGAAAAAAGGAGTGAGATAAACTGAAAACAAAGACAGAAAGTGTTACCTGAGGTGAGTTAATGTGTTTGTCACTTTTTTTCAAAGTTTCAGGAAATTGGTTAGCAGTAAATGACATTTAAAAAGAAACATCATTTTAAAAAACACCAGTCATCAAAGAACCAGGTGACAAATAACCCTTATATTTAGTGAAGTACAAAGACAAAACCAGAACCAAACAAAAAGTGGACTGAAGGACATCACGTAGATTGCAGTTCTAACCAACCCTGACAACGTAACATTTGCTTCACTGTCCAACTAGAGAGTATAGGCATTTGCGCAGAAACATAAAACACACAAAATTGACTGAATTTACAAGCATTAATTCTAGCATTTAGTCGACGGTCAAACCCAGAGTGATTTGAAATAATTGCTGCGGCACAATGACTAAGGAATACCATAATTGGGTAAAGGAATTGGGCAATAAACAAACCCGAACAGACACACACCTCATTACATGCACTGAGAGAGAGGGAGCGAGCTGTAGCAGAGAGATCAATGTGGTCAAGTGAATAGCAACTGTGTAAAGCAAGTGCATGCTGGTCATGGCAGTCCAGCCAAACGAGGACGCTACAGTCAGAAGTGAAATTCAGAGTGGGAGCCAGAGGCCCATGGTAAATAAACATGTGCTGGATCCAAAGAAGACAGCAAATAGCTATGTTTTATTTATATATGTTTGAGATGACAAAGAGAAAATGTAATTCCTCAGGGAAGAGAAGAAAGATTTTCTGCTTAGATTCCATACAGGACAATCAGAGCCGCGTTTATTTTGGGGAATAAAAACTCAATTTGAGAGAAAACTTGGTTCCTGCCCTGGCGTTCACATCCGCAGCAAAGAGAGATAAAATGTAATTTCTCAAGTTACAAATGCTCACACAACAAATGACACTGTGGTCTCAGATTTCTGCTACAGGGAGAAGAGCTTTGGAGGACAAAAAAAGGAGCAGAGCGCCGATGGATTCATAGGGATGTGCTTCGCTGCCAAGTCTTGGGCCACGAGCTTTGGACCAAAACAAAAAGGATTTTTTTGCTGTTGAATGCTTTAACAGCAATACGGGGATTCAGAAAGCTGTGTACATCCTATTTTCCATTTATAGTTCCAAATATGTCTCTATGACAATATATACGGCTGCCATAAACCTGCATCACTGAGGGAAATAAGCAGCTCCAAACATGCTGTATTTTTTTATGTTAAATTCCTGTGCAACCCTAATCAAATAAAACATCAGGCAATGTGAATCTTTTTGATCCATATAAAAAAAAGATCTACCAGTGCCTTTATGTAAAGCCATTTAGACTTGGTGTGATTCCAGAATATGCAGCTAATGAGCAACTGCTCCACTCAACCTTTGAATTAACCTGATCAAGCGTCTGGCAAGGAAATAAACAAGCACTCTTCCAAAATGTCAAACTGTTCCTGCAGGCGTTAGAGCAGTTTCTGTACATGTTGTTGTGTCTTTACATCACCCTGCTTTTAAATAATTAAGCATTTAATTTCCTTCCCAATGAGTCTTTCTTCAGCGCAAATAGATTATTTCCACATTTGCACTACACAGAACTGCAAGAGCGAGGTCAGAGGTTCAAGAACTCTGATGAAGAACGTTGTGAACGTTGGAGAAAATGTTTAAAATGTCTAGATTTTGCCTCTAGGTGCTTTGAAATGTCACCTTGACAAGTTTGGGGATGTTCTCTCACAGTTCTCAATAGGTTTTACATCATGGTCTTTAGTTTCTCTGTCAGAATAACAATAATAAAAATAAATATGGGTTTAATAAATCTCAGAGAAGAGACAGTACACGTGAGAAACATCAGAAAGTCAACGGTCAGATGCTATGACTAAGAGCAAAAGCAGAAGGAAGATAGAGACCATGAATACATGAAGATTTGTCCTTCCCTCCGCTGCGCAAGATCAATGTGCTCATTATCAGGCATCAGTGTGTGCCTGTGGCTACCTCACACACCGATGCATACACACACAGTTGCCACAGTCTTTCCCCACAATAGCCCTAATGATGTGCAAACATATTCTCAAACCACAAACACACAGGTCTCCCCGTCCTCACTGCTCACGATCTCTCTATAAATTTCATTCAGTCTTCATTCTGCTCCCTGTCTTATTGCCCACCAGGGCCCTTCTTTGCCGTGGATACCATGGAACAAGACTGAGCTCTCAGAGCTGTGGGTGTAGCATCCAAAGTACATGCATAAACCACACACTCAGTGCTCCTGCCAGTGATGGCTGCTTCCCCTGCTACAGAATTCGGTTTTAATTTGCTGTTACAAACACAAACCTACCTCTTTAGTGCTGTGCTTTTGTCTCACCTCGGGATATAAACATGTTGAAATGTGAATTAACGGTCACACGGGTTTTCCACGTTACATACAGCCTGTGTATCAGTAATCACATGGGTTTTTTGCACGTTACATACAGCCTGTGTATCAGTATCAGGGCTGCAGCCTCTATCCACTGCAGAGCAAACCATACAGGGAGAAAAAACTAGCGAACAAGAGAAAAAAAAAAAAACCCAGACAAACTGCCTGTGTCTGTCTCTCTCTCTAATTCACACGGCACTAAGTTTATTACCAGAAAACTCCATTTTATTGTTATTCTGCTCACAGCCGCTCGTTGTTTCGCTTGTTGCAATCAGCTCTTCTGCTGACTGCCAAAGCAACATAGTGAAGTAGTTATTGATGTTATTGATGATATTTATCCCAGGCTGTCGACTTGACTGCAAACACATGTCGGCTTCACACAGCAGCACCGCTAAAAAGTCACTAATGTCGAGCATCTGCCTGCTTCAGGAGCGTCTGACTTTGATTTTTTTCTTTCGGTTATTCAAATGCATTTATTAATGCAAAGGTTGTAATCTGTAGTCTGGCAATAACTACCTGTTACGTCTCACCATCTCTGAACCGTCACCACACTTGGAGTGGATGTCAGTGATTTCTGTGGCATGATATATTTTATAAGCAGCGAAAGGGACAAAAGTGCACCAACGGCCGCTTTGCATAGTAACCTTCATGGGAAGAAAGTAGCTGTTCATCATAGAAGGGTTGACATGTATGTAAAGACACAGGGACTGTGGTGAGGCAAGAACACCACATGTACACACATACGCACATACTGTACACAAGCGCCAAATTGATTTTCACAGAACGAATCAAGATGATTGTTATGGATTAAAGTCTCCATTAAAGATTCATTCCACCTGAAGGGACGTTGAATTCCTGTACTGGCAATGCTTCTGCTGATAAAACCATGAGTTGCAGATATTTTTTATTTATTTCCAAACCTCAAGTCAAATCTAATCTGGACTCCTTAGTGTAATGCTTTGCAATTATCTGTGAAAAGGTAGTCAGCAGAACCAATTTGTCTTTTCAAAGTTACTAAGAGCTATTTAGTAAGTCATTATTATTATTGTTGAAAGATGAAAGAAAGATGAAAGTCACTCTTATTCACCAGAGTGTCCTGGATCCACTGCTCACCTGGCTCCGCTCTTTCCCAAAGGTCCCTTGTAAACAATTCTGCCACAGCATTTTCTGTTGACTGTTACAGTTGCAGCATTAAATGTCAAGTTGCTCTTTACCAAATAGGACAGAAACAGTTGATTTTAAAAATACCTAGTTCCAGACTTTATTTCCAAAGGCATGAGCTGCACTGAGACTTGATCACAAATGCACAGCACACACTGCTGATCTCCGTCTTCCTAACACAAACACTGCTTCCCTCTGTCATATACAGCCTCTGCCTTCCCTCAGTGATTAGGAGTTGAATAGGGGTGCTGTCAGGTCATTCGTCTTTTCAATGCTCTCCTCCTATGTCTCCCTATCCCCATCCCTCACACCCTAACCACTGGTCCTGACACATAAACAAGATCAACACACAGGCCTAGGAACAAATGGAGACACACTCACACAGAGATGCAGTGGACGTCTTCATACTCAGACCTGGCATCAAACCATGAGAGCAAATGTAATGAATAAACAGACTAACTCCCATTCTTCAAAGCTCCATTAAAGCAAAGGCAGGTTAATATTACTCATACAAGACAAATAAAAACATACAAGACCCTGTGAAGCGAGGTGAAAAAGTATTTGCTCTTGAACTGAATTATTGTTTAGGTCACTGTTAGTGACTGAGAGGAAGGTTATTCCCTTACTTTTTTAGGCTGACTTCATTTGCCCCCTGATGTTCCCCGTTTACTTGTAAATTCTTGCCATTTTCAAAGTACCTGTTGATTAGCCACCGTTCCAAACACCATCTACCAATTTTCAAGTGACCTTTACAAGAGTAAAATGCAATCTGAAATGTTTTTCCTCACACAGAACAAACAAGACACACTCATCTACTAAGCATCACATTCCTACACACTGAAATCCCACTCTCTTCACTCCTGTCCATTTCTACTTTTGGCAATAAATACCTTATGGCTCAGCCTGATAATTAATTGTAGATTTTGTAGCTGTTCTTTTC